GGGCTGTCACTCTGACCGCAGCCCCGCTTCGGATGTAGTGATTAAAAAAAAAATAATGATCTGTGTGTCAGCGGGCGGGGAGGGGGATATCTCGGTGCCAGTAACGCCCCTAGAGCCAGACAGAGAGCCCTGGGCCGCTTGGCTCTTAGGCAGAACCATGGTGGGGTCAGAGACAGGGAGATCATCCTTTCTTCCCCCCCCTTTTTTTTTTATTCTCTGTTATTTTAGCTACTGAAACAAAAGGCAAATAGCTCCAACGCGTCCCTCTCTGCATGTCAGACAGACACCAAAAAGAAGCATCCACTCAAAGCGGGAAGTAGCCAAGAAATCCCAGCTCTGAACGGGAACGGGATGAAGGCCAAATCCCCAGATCAAAGGGACAATGGTTCTGCTAAAGACAGTCCTCCTTTGGCCAAGCCAAAATCCAAGAGTGTCGCAGCAGATAAGAATGTAAATGGCACCAAAAGTGATGGGAAAGGCTGCAAAGAAAAAAAGAAAAGTGGCAATATTTTAAAGGAGAAAATCGATATCAAACATAAGAGGAGGAAAGCTGAAGAACATGCGGAGCAGCAACCCAAAGAGTGAGTACTGGAGGCATCACGCATGTACATGAATATTTATTTTCAGAGATGTACGTAAGGAGCAGAGCAGTACCTTCAAAACAGCTGCACTCTTCCAGACTAAATTTTGGGAGAAATAAGACACATGCTGCCCCCACTCCTCAGACAGAGCAACAAACCTGCATAGGTGACAATACTAATTTTCCCAGAGCTAATTTCTTGATTTCAAAAATACATATGCTTTGCCTTACACTACAAAAATGCAGGACTGTTTTCTGACCATTAAATGTAATTAAATCTGTACTTACCAGGGCTGAAATCTGGTTTGATGACGTTGATCCAAAAGATATTGAAGCAGCAATAGGACCCGAAGCAGCAAAAATTGCTCGAAGAAATCTGGGACTTGAAACAGATCCATCTGAACAGTCTGTGGAGCAGGTGCTGGTTAAAGAAAAGGCTTCTGAAGGGTGAGTGACATTCCAGCAGGAAGGATGGCAGCAGAGGCATCAAGATTATCTTCTCATAACTGTGATTTGCAGATGCATAGCGTAAGCTGACATCTCCCTGAGTCTGACAAACTGCTGCGTTTTCCCCCTTTGTATCAACACATGAATTTTGCAAACTCCAGTATCTGTCCCTATGACAGAGGTGTCACCAAGCTGTCCTTTGTGTTCTAGGCTGACACGAGCTGTAGCCATGGACTGTGAGATGGTGGGAGTGGGACCCAAGGGTGAAGACAGTATTGTGGCTCGTGTGTCCATTGTGAACCAGTTTGGAAAGTGCATTTATGACAAGTATGTCAAGCCTACAGAAGAGGTGACTGATTACAGAACAGCTGTTAGTGGCATACGCCCCGAGAATATAAATACAGGTAGGAGGTTTTTTTCCCCAAAATATTCTTAAAGGAGGGAAAATTTAAACAGGCTATCACAGAAGCTGTGTTGGCTGAGCTTGGAAAAGTCTTAGATCTATGTTGGGAAGCTGAAAACAAAATGTAGTCTGAATGCTAAGAAAAATTGTGGGAAGGAGTACTTTTAACAGAATGGTCACTAATACCCTAGAATAAATTAACTCATGGATTAGGCAGGGGAGTAATAGGAAATTTATTTCCTTTTAGCACTATCATCTTTCTGCAATTCCCTATGCTCTTGTAACAAGCAGTGGCTTTAGTGCACTGTACGAATTTGTATAACTACAGTCCCAAGGATACAATTGCTTTCACAGAAAAGATGCAGTGTTTTAATTGGAGCTTGCTTAGTTGTCTTACGCATCTAATGGCAAGTGGTTTTTTGTGTGGTATTTTTAGGTGAAGATTTTAAAACGGTTCAGAAGGAGGTTGCTGACATCTTGAATGGAAGGATTTTAGTTGGACATGCTTTACGCAATGATCTGAAGGTACATAGCTGCACATCTGTTATTTTGATAACTAGGGTCCAAAAATTTAAGATTGATTAATTTTCTAATACCTCTTTCTGGATCAAATGGACACACATGAACTAGAAACTACAACTTTATCACTGTTCTATCAGTTTCTCGTCATTTCATGCAGCACCAAGTATAGCCCTAGTCACTTGCCCACTAAAGTTCTTCCACTTCTGAACTCACTTGCCAGTAGCACTGTTCTGCCTGCTAAATTGCCAGGAAAGAAACAGAATTATGGAAAGAAAAAAAAAAAACAAACCTGTTTGCATGTTTTGCTTAGCCCCCAAAGCTCAGTCTGGTCATCCTCACCAGAGACAGATATCTCATGTCACACTGTACCAACACTGCAGGTACACTTCTACAGGTGGTGCCTCCAGATTCAGTTCTGTTTCTCATGCTAAGTAGAACCCTGGTTCTTGAATCCAGACAGTAGCTGGATGATCTTGGTCTTGTCCATTGATGGTTTTGAACTCTCTCATAATAAATGGAAGGAGAGAGCAGGAAGCTATACTTTCAGCTGTATAAATTTCCATGCAACAGCATGCTTTGGACTGAAAATGTAATTTCTTCTAGGTACTATTTCTTGATCATCCTAAGAAGAAAATACGCGACACACAAAGATACAAGCCTTTCAGACAGAGGGTCAAGGTGAGAAACTGACAGGAAGGTGCACCTCAAGTAACTCACCCTTGAGCTACTCACTCCCAGCTGCTGCCTCACTCCCACACTTGCCCCTACCTGACCCTGTTCCTTCTTTCCTGCCTGAAATAGGGATGCTTGCTTTTTGTGGTTTGAAAATACTAGTCCCATTGAACGCTTAGTGTTTTAAATACATCAGTAAGTTACTTAGTTCAGTACAAACACTACCAGTAATACCTGTGCAGAAAATTCAGTGGCTCTTCCATTCTTTGGCACTTGCATGTTCCTCATAATGCTTTTCTGGATAGCAGAATAAGATGGTACAGTTCTGCTTACAGTAGGCTGATGTGATCACTTCAGTGGTATAATTTCCACAGGGATATAAAAAAATAGATGGCGTCAGGCTTCTGCTTAGACTGCAGGAGTAAAGGTGCAGATTATACAGAGATATTTTAAGTTTCATAACGATATACTGAGGTTTTATTTTTCACAACAAAGCAGCCCAAACATAAATCCTAGGCTTATGGTAATACACATAAAATCCCCTCAGTACTGCATGCATAAATCTCGTTAATTCATTAATTCTTCTTGACAGTTCACCAGTAGAAGCTGAGACGTGCTATACTTTGAGGAATGCACTTAAACTGATATTTTTATGTATATAAACACATCTATACATATATATTTCAAGTGGTGTGACAGAGCACAATTCTGTCTTTTCTATTTCTAGAATGGACGGCCATCATTGAAACTGCTCTGCGAGAGACTGCTGAATGTTCAAGTGCAGACATCAGAGCACTGCTCGGTATGTAACTCATCAGAACATACATTTTTGGGTAGATAACAAGGTACTGCACATTAGCTGTAGGATCTGGGTTCAGTCCAGAATGCTGTGGCTTTAACAAGCTCTGCTTGGACACCAGCACGCAGTAAGATTGCCATCTAAGCTTGCTTACTGTTAACACGTCTCATACCAATTGGATTATTTCCTTATTTTCAGAAACTTCATTTGCACAAGTCAGCTGTATTTTATTTAAATATTACTTCTTGTTATCTTAAGATCCCTGGGGAAAAGCAATTCTCAAGTTATCGACTGCTTACCTTACAAGCAGCATTCTGCACTGCTGTACTATGTCATCTTGGATAACAAAGTGTGAGAACCTGCTACTGAATCTCAGCAGTTAGTTCCTTTCTTTCAGTGCATCCTCCTCACAGGAGGATATAAGAGGAATTAACTGAAAAAGCAGGGCAAGTTGTGAGGGTATCTCCAAGGTACTGTATCAAAAGTATTTTTGCATTATGGCTTTCCAAGTCCTCATCAGAAAGAGAAGTGCATAGCCTTGTGGCATTCTGAGTACTTACTCTTCCCCTTCCACTAGTCACAGAACCTCAATCTAGAAAAGGATTATGAAACATTAATTGAAAGGCTATATTAAAATGATGGACAATTTAGCTGCTTATTAACAATAATGTTCTGAAGCCACATCAGCTGTGTTTCATTAAGCCTCTTGTTTGTTCTGTTCTTTTAGATTCAGGATGCACAGGCAGCTATGAGACTGTACACCTTAGAGAAAAAGAAATGGGAAGCTGCTGTCAAGAACAAATCTAACAACAAAAACTGTAAAACTTGATTCTACACTGGGTTTTTATCTGCAGCATTTGCTGGTTTCATGTCACATTCCAGGGCAGATTTATAGAGAGAACTCAAAACTGAGAGCAGCTCTTGATAAAATCAATCAAAAGACAATACTTCCTAAGCTGGAACATGGCTGCTGCCACACACGAATACTGCCAGTGTCCCCTTTCTGGATGGTGACTGTGCCTATAATGCCTCCTACTGTGTTTCAACAATGCTTGTCACAAATGCCTGCATTTGTCAAGTACTTTATCAGTTCAATTTCTGCAAAGGAAACATACACTGAATAATTTGTAAAAAGTGTTTTTACATTAGGATAGATGAATGAAGAAACTGTAATTGTTTTGCTGAAACTCCCCAGACTAAAATCTTTATTTAAAATATTTTCAAGTCAACAAAGTAAGGCAAATTCTTAATTATTGCTGTTAGTCTCACAGTTGTGGCACCTAAACCAACAGAATATGTAATCGTTTATGTATTATTCATGGTCTAATATTAATCTTTCTGGTGAGAAAAATATTTAAAAATATTTCTGGAGTATCCAAGCTTTTATATCTGAACCAGAAGTGTACAGGTTTTGTTCTTACACAAAAAGTTCCTTTTACTTCCGCAGTTTCAAAAGTGCTGCATCCACAAGGGTCATTATCTCCTGGAGAGAAACGTGAGAATTGTCAAATACAAGATTATCTTGCTGCTTCACTTATTTTTATATTCCTTTATTAATAAAACCACTGTGTCTAACATAGCCCTTCAAAGTGAGTGGTGCTTTACACAAGTGGGGTCTGATTCTGCAAAATCCAAAGCAATGGCAATTATCAGAATGAACACTAATGCTGTGATTTCAAATCATCTAAATGGATGCTGGAAGGTAACAAAGAATGAGTTTTGGAGGTTTAGCAGTTGCATGTCACACACTGACTGAGCATGTTCTGGTCTTGTCTGTCTGTGCTGTCTGTTAACAGGGGACACAGGGAACAACAAATGATCTTTATCTCTGTTGTGATTCTTTTTTTCCTGCACTGCCTTATAGCTGCAGCGTCCCTTAAAATGGTGCAGGCAATGCCTGCAGGAGACACTGGAGAACAAGTTCTGCATGTAACTGTCTGAGACAAAATATGTAAGCAGGCTAAATGCATAACTAAAAAGAGCAAAGTTGTAAGACTACCCAGTCTTATTGGCTTGATGAAAAAAACCTGTAATTACTGGTTTCTTGACAGCAAGCCACTGCAAAGGAGATACTAGTGTGACATATTAAACAGCTTCAATAACTTTGCAGTTTCTGGTCTTTCAACAGTTATGTTTTTTCAGTAGGACTACTTGTTGGAATTTAATATAAGTTAAATCTTCAAACTGTCACAAGGGTTTGTTTTGTTGATTTTGTTGTTTGGTTTTTTTTAAGGATGTCACTTATAGAGCAAAAATAATTGGATGTCATATACTTAATGCTTTATTATTGTAAACTTTAGCCTGTTTTAGTCTGAAGAATGTAAATTAAAGCAATGCAATGTTGCAAGAGACGAGAACAGTTTTTAAAAATTACAGCATAAAGCATAAGGAAAAAAAAACCTTCCAACTACTTGTTTTCAGCAGTTAGAAGTGGTCTTACAAACTCATTCTTCACCCCATATACACATAATTCTTTAAATTTCTGCACTATGTAATTCCAGCTATTTGAGAATGATAAAATCCATAACAAGAAATAATACACTAAACATCCACCCTTTATGATCACAGTGACTTCTACATACCATGCTAGATGGAGAACAGTTTTTTATTTCAGACAGCAGTTCGTCCATTCTCTGGGACAGCATATCCAGCACAACATCCTCTGTAATGGAAATGAACAGGATGATTTATGATTACAAGTGCCAATGGTTTCAGCAGAAGCTAAAGGAGAGCAGGAGGGGACAGATCTACACAAACAGAAGGCAAGATAAGATGGAGTTATAACATCAGAGGGGCATTTATAATTATTCAAGAACAAGCAGGATGAACTCTCAAGTTCCAATTCATCCTCCTTTCTCAGATATATAGCAAGTATTTCCTAAGAGCAGCCAACATGTCCCTGAGCAGCTGCTGTTGGGGTTTTATTTACTGTCTTTTGGGGGTGGGGGAGAGGAAGAGACAAACACCACCACCATCTCACCATATTGAACCATCTCGTTAATCAGCAAACAGATATTTCCCACCACTTCTGGATCATCGAAGTGAAGGTGGTAGGCATCTTTGATCAGGTTTATTCCACTGCCTTTTGAATCCATTATAAATCTCAAAGCTGATATTTCTGAAAGGGAGACAAACAGTGCTGGGCTAATTGGTCACTGCAGGCTGTATTATCTGCTTTCCAGTCCCCTGCTCCAGCTAGCACACACGTAATATTTTTCCAGGAAGTCATGTCCCTTATTTTCAACCTTCCTAAAAGTTATTCTGAAGCATATTCAGGCAACAAGTAGATGAACATATATGCAGCCAACACTGTCATGCATGGCAGAAGTGGTATTTTCATGTTTACTGTTTTCACATTGAGCTCTACCCTTTTACACAGTTGAAACAACTTCAACATAAAACAAGAAACAAAACACTTAAGTTACTAATAAACCAGATCGTGCTGATCTAGAACTTCTCATACATGTATGCTGGGTCCATGGGAAAAAAAAATTGCATCTCCAGTTTCACTGTTTCCTCTTCCAGTCCTGCAAGAAAGTATTAACTCAAGAGAGCAGATGTCGATGCCAATCCCACTATGAACTCCCCACCTATACAGGAACATCCACATCCAAGCTGATTTGCAATCAATAAAAAAAAAGAATTGCTGAATGTTACCAGATAGCCTCAGAAGGCTTGCTAATGCCAGGCAGGCATTCTTCACCAGCATGGGTCTTTCTAGGTTCATCCTGAGTGCATCCAGAAGGAGTGTTGTTGTGGGCTCATACTCATTTTCAGTTAAACAACCTTTAAAAAAAAAAACCACACACAAAACCCCAAAACCTCACTATACTCAAAAGCCTTTAAAACACTCATCAGCATTTCAACTTCTGCCTCCTGTTTCTGAAATGACTTTTTACTTATGCAATAAAAGTTAAAGAAAGCAAGTGAAAACCTGTATTACAGTAAAAAAGGCCAAATAAAGCCTTATCATGAGCTGAGGTCTAGGAAAAAAATCTGATACATCTTCTATGTCAAGATTCTCTTCCATTCTCCAAGCCAAAAGGAATGGAAAGTCCTGAATATTCAACATATTCTACTGGTGGGTACTAGACTGCTTAGGGCATTTTACTCAGCTCTTCCGCGGGGAGGGATGGCATAAACACAGGGCAGTATGTAAACACACAGCAATGTTCTTGCATGAGGAAGGAAAAAGACAGTAGTACTGCAAGGATCCTTTCCTTAGTGCACATGATAATGAAAGCGACGTGTTTTATTTTTTAATCTGAAATATTGTTCCCAATTTACAAAGCAAATGGAATAAAAACAAACCTCACAGCCCACACTGCCCAACACTTCATACTGTGTTCAAAGGAATAACACAAATGGGATTCTTGGTCTTAAGAGAGAAGCCAGAAAGAATGCTCTGCGCAACAAGGGTCTTGTAGCTGCCCGTCATTACCATACCCAGCAGCAGTCTGGTTATATAATTGCTGGGGCTCATCATAAATAGCTCCCATTAGGGAGTGAGAGCAAGTGCACAGAAGACCGGACAAGAGAGGATGCAAGTTCCTAACTGTGCTGCCATCTGCAGAGCCTGCTGAGGCCAAGCAGCCTGGATTTCAAGGATCACCACTGACAGACAGATGTGTTTGGCACACCTGCCTTTTCTGTGCACAGGGGACAAGGAGACTGGGAAAACACACCTTGGAGTGACAGTGCCCACAGAGCTGAGCAAGCAGACTCCACCACTGTTCCATTCTGGAGGTGCTCTTGAAGGACCGCACAGGTAACAGGGACAGCACTTTTCAGCGATGCTTGGTCTACATTATTCTCTGAATTACCATAGCAAAAGGGAAATGCCTCAAGCAGAGTTATTTAATCAAGTAATAATATCATAAGCACATTGTATGTTAAATTGTATTAGTAAAACCTCAATGAGTGATGGCATTTGAGTAATGCAACATTTTAGTATGGACAACAGCAGAGAAAAGCAATTAAAATGCACAAAACCAAGTCAAATTGTACAGGACTAATAAATGTTTGTTTGTTGCAGAAAGCTGAACTTCTCCAGGAACTAGTTTTCTTTGCTATTTAAATTATACATAGGGAACACAGCAAGAAGCCTCCAAAAATAACCACTTTAACAGAATATGGTCTGCAGGATGGATATTTAGCTGATCACATAAATCAAATGGGTGGTTTGTTGCACAGAGGGAATAAAACATACCAAGTGCAATTGTGCATTCTGTGCTTCCAGCCTTCCTTAACAATTCAAATACCACACAACCATACAAGAACGTCACAGAAACAAATCCCCTAAAAAACTCCCAGCACTGTCTCATAAGACAGGTTCAGCTCCAGCAATCACCCCTGACTCTCCAACACTGTGGGATGATGCTGGTTTAGTTCTAAGGTAACAGGAAGAGTACACTTGTCACTTTGCCAATCACACTTCTTTTGGAAAAGCAAGGCTCCAGAAGTCCAACTGAAGATTTAGCCCACTGCCACCAAGAGAAGTGTGATGCAAAGAAAGATGCTATTAATTCCAAATGCTATTCTGATACCTAATCTGCTATTTGCACTGCACTCCCTCTGCTAAGGGCAGAGCAAAACCATGGCTGATGAACCAGAAACTGCATGTACCCTCTCATTTCTGACAGTCTGTTCATAAGCCTGACCTTGGCCTAAATGGTGAAGATTTGACTTTGACGCCTTATCACAAAAAGCTTTGCTAAAAAGTCTGCATTAGTTTTAGTTTTCTCTCCTTTAACTCTGAATCACTTAAAGTTATTCTAGTAGTGCTGCAGAGACATCTCTCCACAATGCGGGAAAGAAGAAAAACCCAGT